GTTATATCCACGAAGTTCTAGAGCCCCATCTTTTACCCTATCTTGACACCCTGGCAGATCCAACTTTCCAACAAGATAATGTCACAAGTCACAATAGACTTCTTTCAACATAATGATGTCACATTGTTACCATGGCCACCAAGATCTCCTGACTTATCCCCAATTGAGCACGTGTGGGATATGATGAGTAGGAGATTGCTCAATTTGCAACGTCCTCCTCAGACTCTAGAAGCACTTCGAGAGGAGTTGGTGGTTGCCTGGAATGAGATACCACAGGAGGGCATTGACCACCTGATCAGAAGCATGCCTAGGCGCGTTGGAGAATGCGTAGCACATCAGGGTGCATCCACACATTATTATAGGTCAAAGGGCTTTAAAGCAGTGCAATCATTTTGAAATTTTTATCATTTACTTATTATGCTTCATTAAGTACTTATACAAAATTTTATTAAAATAAAACCATTTAAACTGGGTGTTCGGATTTATATGTCACTTAGTACATAACTTATGAAATAGACAGAATAATGGCTGAAAAAGGTCATTCTGTTTTGAGATTGCCACCAGATTACACCGATCTGGTATGAAACAATATATGGCTGAGAGAAACGTGGATTTTAATCTCAAGACTGTCGACAAACTTTGCGACGATTTTTTCTCGTCTTATCCCACAGAATAGTGGAAAAAGCGATGTGAGCATGCCGAAGGTTTTGAGAAGCAGTACGTGGAACTGGAACCAGCACTCGCCTTAGTTGTGTATTGTAAATAATAATAAACCTAGACGAAGATAGTGATAGCGAAACCGAAGATTTAAGTTTAAGTAGTAGCTCAGATTCCGATTCCGAACTTTCAGGATTTGATCATCTGTGAAACTTCATAAATCTCTAAAATATTGCCAACGGTATCAAGTGCGATGTTAGTTCCCTGACCTTACTTTTTATTTAATTGTTTATTAATTGAAATTATTAACAATTAAAAATAGAATGGGTACCAATCTTATAGCTACAGAGCGTGCAATACTGATTTTATGGAATAAATTGTTTTGGTGTACTTTTGACACATGCCAACAATTTCCATTATAAGGACTTTTATTATTCAATTTTCTCATTGTTACCGGGATCACTAGCTTCCTAATGATAGGTGATTACAAATATTTTCCGGAAATGATCAGGTACGTCAGAAAACGAAGTTCTTAACGATTGTTATTCTTTAGTGTTTTTGCCTCTAGCTCCGCTGCCACTGGACCGATTTTGAAAAACTACTTAGCTTTTCAATCCTTCGCATAGTAGTAACCTTGTGTTAAAATTTCAGCAACATTCGAGCGATACTTCTGAAGTTATAGGCGGTTATAAGATTAACGGACAGGCCATCAGACAGAAAAAGCGACGGAAAAACAAAATCTCAATTTCGAAATATTTCACGTTTATAGTTGGCGCGTGAAGTAAAAACCAAAACTAGATTGTAAGTAAAACGACCAGCTAATCCGAACCTGGCGGATATACACTTGAAGGTAAATTTTCGTGAAGTTTTGGACTCATGTAAGTAAACGGCTTTCAATATACACCGTGGTAATTTAGACCGTGACTATAACCCTTTCAGAGAGATTGCGCAACTTGATTGTTCCCCTAGGCCTGAACTAATTGTGTAGTAAAAGCAAAGAACGAATCACCTTCGCTCTTGAACGTCTTATCAAATAGATGCTAGCGTGCTAGATACGGACGATAAAATTTGGCTCAGGCACGGGGATTGCTACGAAAATAAGTCTTTCCCGAGATTCTAGACGATTTCAAGTAACTGAAGAGCTCGTATTGTCTATCTAGAAAGTATTGTTTATTGTGTAGTCATTTTTGTTTAACAGGAAAAGTTGGGAATATTTTGCTACTCCTATTTTTAAGCTGTAAGATTAGTAGAGCTGCAAAAAGCTTTTTTGGCCAGGTTGTTTGATAATCACCACAATGTGTGCCCATAAGGGTGTCCCAAAAAATGAATGTCCTTTTTTTAAACGATTGCCTCTAATTTTGTTTGAACAATGTCAAGATAATTGTAAATAAAGTTTTATGGATCTAGAACCAGGGCAAACCGTGCCGAGTTGCCGTTGGAAATGTCAATACTTGAATTTTAGACGCGCGCTAGCTAACTTACCGCAGTGTCTGTTTGTTCTGTTAGTAAATGCACTGTTTTAGTTCAGTTAACATGTCGAAGGGTTTATGCAGTTCTAAAAAGCGAATATTTTTTATAGGGAACGTGAAGCATCAAACTACCAGTTCAAAACTTCCCTCTAATGGACAAGTATACTAAGTGACATATAAATCCGAACACCCAGTTTAAATGGTTTTATTTTAATAAAATTTTGTATGAGTACTTAATGAAGCATAATAAGTAAATGATTGAATTTCAAAATAATTGCACTGCTTTAAAGCCCTTTGACCTTTAATAATGTGTGGACGCACCCTGATGTGCTACGCATTCTCCAACGCGCCTAGGCATGCTTCTGATCAGGTGGTCAATGTCCTCCTGTGGTATCTCATTCCAGGCAACCACCAACTCCTCTCGAAGTGCTTCTAGAGTCTGAGGAGGACATTGCAAATTGAGCAATCTCCTACCCATCATATCCCACACGTGCTCAATTGGGGATAAGTCGGGAGATCTTGGTGGCCATGGTAACAATGTGACATCATTATGTTGAAAGAAGTCTATTGTGACTCTTGCAACATGTGGTCGGGCATTATCTTGTTGGAAAGTTGGATCTGCCAGGGTGTCAAGATAGGGTAAAAGATGGGGTTCTAGAACTTCGTGGATACAACGCTGCGAGTTCATGCTACCTCTGATGAAGATTAAAGGTGACCTGGAACCATAAGCTATAGCACCCCAAACCATAACTCCAACAGTGTGATGAACATGTCTTTCAACAAAAAACTGTGGATTCCTCCTTTCACCACGTCGCCTTCTAACCCTGGCACGACCATCGTGCATGCCTAAACAAAATCGAGACTCGTCACTAAAGACAATACTGTTCTATTCCTGATCCCAGAGTGACCGTTGTCTGCACCACTCAAGGCGATTACGTCGGTGTTCTCGAGTTAAACGGAGGACCCAGTGTGGCCGGTATGAAAACAAGCCAAAACTTCTCATTCGTCGGTAAACACTTCGCATGCCAATAGGTCTTCCGTGTTCTGCAAACCATTCATTTGCAATGGACTTGGTAGTGGAGAAATCGTCCCTTAAGGCCAATAATCTTAGGCGGCGATCTTCACGGTCTGTAGCGATCTTGAACTTACATTTCCACCTAAATCATTAGGATCGATCCGGAATCGATCCTAAGAAGATTCGACAGAAATGTGTATTTGGGCGTAGAAAACAAGGCATTCCGGCAAGTTACAGTCGTGTTCTGTGGCTTTCATCACTGTCCTGCCAGGCAACGTGGTATGTGGTGCAGTCTTTCTACACAAGTGCTGCCCGACCCCCCCCTCTCTTTCTTTCTCGTACACGTGGAAATCTAAACGGGAAAGGGACTTTCACCAGCACTGTATGCAAGTGGTTGAACTATGATTTGCTACTGTATACATTGTATACGTATATAGAGACGTTTATATTCACCATTGTATACGCGTATATGTATGCAATGCGCCCATCACTGTGTGCCGGAAACCATACTGCTTGTTGCCAATCAGTAGCTCGTGATTTATGCACATCTCCATCACCTTACTTATAACAGAAAGCAGAGCTATATGCCTGTAGTTATAAGGGTCAGTCTTAAATCCTTTTTACGGGATGCGTTGAACATGAATTTTCCAGTTTTCTTGGAAAGTACCGTTTCGTAAGGTACCTGGTAGGAACGCTACTGAATATGGCGTATTTTGAACGCAAAGTTAGGGGGAGGATGTGCCCCCCTTGTCCTAATAATGGGCGCCCAAGATCCAGACACTCCAAGAACAGAGAAGTGATCGTAGCAGCCAGTTCTCGATGTATGTTTTAAGAGTGATACAGTAAAGTTGGTAGGTGCAAGATCCACGGCAGATCGAAGTGAGAATTAAAGTCTCGATAATTTGATTCTCAAGCTGTTAATACATTCAGTCCCAAGTGTTCTCGCCTAGATCCATAAAAAAAATCTGCCCCATCAGAATGCAAGCGACGCGCGCGTAATTCGAAAATTAGGTTTTGTTGATTTCTGCATCTCGACAGTCAACGAGTACGGGTTGCTGTTTGAGGTTTGGATCTCTTTTTTCGGCGCTTGGAATCAGTGTGTGGTGGTATAGGCCAGGCAATGTGTCTTGATAATACCAATATGATATTTATTGAGCAATCATAACAAACATATGAAAAGTTGAGAAGACGCATCCAGATTGCTACGAAAGGAGTTAGTTTCCAATCAAGCACTAGACAAGATTAGCATAATTAATTGCATACAGACAAGGCATACGTCACCGCTGCAATGTTAAAATACACTGAACCTCATCTCAAAGCAACAAACAATGTACTTAAGCAATTTATGCAAAACACATGACAATAAACGAGAAACATACATTTTAAAATATATCAGAGTATATAAAATTAATAAACCAAGTAAAATATAGTGGTTGGTAATTGTACAAGAAAACATGTAGGTATCAAAGTCTGTGCCTTAGAGGTATATAGTTGTAACTCCATATAATACAATTCAGAGAACTAGCAAATTAAAGATTGAATTAGTGGCAGAATGGCTTTTTGTTCATGTTACTGTTAATATGCGAATATAGTTTTTTGGGAAAACATATTACATGGTCCACAGAACAGTAATGCTTCATGTTGATGATCTTAGAATTTGATATTCAGATTATTTTGTGAGTTACGACTATTTACTAGGATAATAAAATCTAGGTGCAGCCTAGGATGAAACACAGTAAGTACAATTGGTGGAAATAGGCTACATTTTATTATTACAAAAAATGACATCTGGGGAATATAATTATATTCAATCGTCGTCGTCGTCACCATCTCCTTGTTGACCCAGCAGAGGAGTATTTTTATAAAAAAACATAAAATGCTTCTGGTATCCATTGCAGAAGCATGAGAAGATGATTGTGCTTTTTCTTGCTAAGTCCTTTTGGAGTTTGACGCGGCAAACACAGTTCTAGTGGTAACCCTATCGGTTTTCTAGAGGATCTATTCATGTCTACCATTTTGTAGTCCTCTTGGAATATGTCTCTTTTATAGTAGAGTATCCCTGGATCCTTTTCCGAACCAAAAGCCACACCGCTGATGACACTAAAAAGCTTTCTTTGTCTACTGTCTGTTTCTTTTGAATGAGAGGTGATCCTGTGCCGGAATATAAGGCCTAGAAGTTCTTGAAGTCATTTAACTGCATCTTGAAAACATATTTTCATGGTTGGTTGTTTATAACTCGTTCGATAAGTGCATGGATATGATTAGCTTCCATGTGTGTGTGTCCACGTAGAAGAAACTTGCGAATGATACACTTTAATGAAGGACTTATTATTTGTAATATGTAAAAGTAGTTTACGATCATCATAATGTTCCTATAATATCAATTATGTTGTACTTACTAGATTCTCGAGAATCGATTTCCTCCTCTAGTGCAAGCTGCACTAATTTTTGAGCCCTTGAGGACATTATTACTGTTTTTTGGTTACTTAAGCACCTTGTTCAAACTTCAATTTGCTAAGCGATACGTTCCTGTCAAGTTATATGCCGGTGAGTGTATAACCGTTAAGCATCTATTTTAGAGATTATAGATTTTGTTTATTTTTTTTGAGTTAGATAGCTGTACCAAACCACACCACAATATTCAATGTTACTAACAATTGAAGTGTTGACCAAGGTCCACTTAACGTCGTATGTACTGCTAGCGACAAAGGAATTTTAACTTAAAGTAACATTTTAGCACTCAAATGGAAATCAAATTAAATCAAATGTGAGATTTTGATCAACAATTACACCTAGGTCCTTCACTTCACTGTGCACCTCAATCACTGATTTAGTTGGAGTTATGTCACTTGTTCACCAAGATCCCGCGATAATGGCCACTGTTTTCGATGGATTAGGTTCAAAAGTGGCACCGACTAAAGACCTCTAAGTTTTCATTCACTTTGCAATGCAGTCGTTGATAGACTCCATAGTTATGGACGACTTTAGTGAACGTGGAGGTACCACCCGGGGATCTCGTAGGCGGAGCCAGAATGTGTGCATGTTGCATGCACACGTGTTCCCTCGTCAGAGTCCGTGTGGCGTTCCCCCTTACCCCTGTATCCCCCTATAACCCCACGGTACCCAATGGGTGTTTAGGCCTTAGGCCTTCGTGGTAGTTGGAGTATAAAAAAAAAAAGATCTTGCGCACGGTGGACGGTGTTTGTCACAGAGTTGTGTTCTCATAATCTAACTTATAGCCTGCTTTTCGGTGGTTTTCTGAGTGACTAATCAGTTCTAAACAATTTATAGACCCTGCTTGGTTGGTTAGGCGATAAAAATGCGGTGTGTTATTGCAGAATCAGATTTCGACAACCAGTATAAAAGGAATCCGTGCAAAGATGTTAAGATTTGTAGCCTTTTAGTTTAGCAAACTTTCTACAGTTGATAAATTGTCTAATTACCTGAATTTCCTTTAAACGCGCTTCTCAAAAGCTGAAGCATTAATGATTTAATAGTACAAACATCAAAGCCAACTATGAAAATATTAGTTCTTTGAAATACCTTAATTTTGAAAATATCAATGGATGACATACTTCATATTTTTGGAATCAAACTTGAAAGCTCTATTTACCTGTGCAAAAGTCAATTGTGGCGTCTATAAGAAAATTTATATACTAAGTGGCATATAAATCCGAACACCCAGTTTAAATGGTTTTATTTTAATAAAATTTTGTATAAGTACTTAATGAAGCATAATAACTAAATGATAAAAATTTCAAAATGATTGCACTTCTTTAAAGCCCTTTGACCTTTAATAATGTGTGGATGCACCCTGATGTGCTACGCATTCTCCAACGCGCCTAGGCATGCTTCTGATCAGGTGGTCAATGTCCTCCTGTGGTATCTTATTCCAGGCAACCACCAACTCCTCACGAAGTGCTTCTTGAGTCTGAGGAGGACGTTGCAAATTGAGCAATCTCCTACCCATCATATCCCACACGTGCTCAATTGGGGAGAAGTCGGGAGATCTTGGTGGCCATGGTAACAATGTGACATCATTATGTTGACAGAAGTCTATTGTGACTCTTGCAACATGTGGTCGGGCATTATTTTGTTGGAAAGTTGGATCTGCCAGGGTGTCAAGATAGGGTAAAAGATGGGGTTCTAGAACTTCGCGGATATAACGCTGCTCGTTCATGTTACCTCTGATGAAGATTAAAGGTGACCTGGAACCATAAGCTATAGCACCCCAAACCATAACTCCAACAGTGTGATGAACATGTCTTTCAACAAAAAATTGTGGATTCCTCCTTTCACCACGTCACCTTCTAACCCTGGCACGACCATCGTGCATGCCTAAACAAAATCGAGACTCGTCACTAAAGACAATACTGTTCCATTCCTGATCCCAGAGTGACCGTTGTCTGCACCACTCAAGGCGATTACGTCGGTGTTCTCGAGTTAAAGGGAGGACCCAGTGTGGCCGGTATGAAAACAAGCCAAAACTTCTCATTCATCGGTAAACACTTCGCATGCTAATAGGTCTTCCGTGTTCTGCAAACCATTCATTTGCAATGGACCTGGTAGTGGAGAAACGGTCCCTTAAGGCCAATAATCTTAGGCGGCGATCTTCACGGTCTGTTGTTGTACGGCGGCGTCCAGTGCCCCTTGCTCTTTGCGTACGGCCTTCTCGAAGCCATGCCTGACAACACCTAACCACAGTGTCTACACTTCTTTGCACTCTAACTGCAACTAAGTTGACGAAATCGTACAGGTATCCGTACTCTAGGCATCGTAACCGATCGTAAAGGATGTCAAGAACCAAAATCCGCCAACGTTGATTCTTTACTGCGGCTGAAATATTCATTTTTAGAGCGTTAGTGAACTAAAAAAAAGCAGTATAAAAACCGGAATGTCCAACTGATAAGGCTGAAAATTTTTTCCCTTGTTATTTACAGTAAGATACATTCACCAACTTTTATTAAAATAAAACCATTTAAACTGGTTGTTCGGATGTATATGTCACTTAGTATATTTGATGATCGAGGACTAGCAATGGAATGTCACATTGAGATTCTCATAATACCATCTTGTAGAGGAAAAAAAGCGGCAATATCAATGTACTTGTTTATTTTGAAATCTCATCTCAAATAAAGTCAGAAAAAAATAACAACGATTTTGGAAAAACTCGGTTTCTTTCATCTCCGGCAATCTTCGGAATTGCAAAGCTTTTTAAGTGCTATTTTCTTAGCTAGCTAAATGCGCAACTTTGCCACCATCCAATCGGCTTCATATCTCTTATTATTTCCGAATGGTGAGAGTCGAATTTGAAGCGTCCGGTATGTGTGATGAAAATATGTAGTTTGACTGTACCAGAACCAATGCGTGAAAAAGAGAGGGATACAGAATTTCATATTCCCAACTCGAAAGGTGTAAATCAAAAGTTGACAAACAGTCCGTAGTCTGATGAGAGCATTCAGCCGAACTGAAAAGCCACCCTGCATTGGGACATTCACCAAGCCGGGCTTAAGCTCCGTATAGATCGGGAGCTTCTTCTTGAAATATCGTGGTTTCTTTCTTATTTCTGAATACAGGATGGCTTCTTGAATCTCTTGATGAGTTCCTTGAGACTATGCGTAATTAATCTTACGTCTTATACAGGGTGTTATAGAATGTTATCAGGAAAATTGGAGATTCACTATACTACAACTATTTAAAACTGTAATGACTCATACGCGTGATCAACACGTGATCAGAGCTCGATCCCGGCTGCCTTCCAGTACAGCCATATAGCGTACGACATATGTCGTTTCTGTGGCTTTGCGGTGGTCAACAGCACAGACAGAGATGGAAATAATGGCTGATTGTTCTCCGCCGGTATAACCAATGAAATCAAAGACGCGCCTCGACCGGCAGACTCATAGGCGTCGGCAACGCATTGGAACGTGTTTCGTTGAGCGATCGCATATTGTGTGTTTTTATAAGAATTGTTGTGTGATTGTTATTGTTGTGGTTTCTGTGGTTACTGTTTTGGTTATACTTAACCATGGAGAGTACAAATGGCACGAGTGGAAGTACTGAAAGCCAGGGAACAAGTAGACGGCTTCGTAAAGCACTGAAGAGGGACGCGAAAGAAATCGTGCTCAACGTGTTCAATTATCTGAACAGAACTATGTCGCAGGGAGATGCACTCGCGCGTTGTGAAAGTATGACAGGCGTTCCAGAGTGGACCATTCGCAGGGTGGTGCATGAAAAGAAGAAAACTGGAGCTACTACTGATCCAAAGTTTAATTTGAAAGGACGAAAGGCCGTTAAATTGGATGACGATAGCAAAATGGCGTTAAGGCGAACCGTACATTCATTCTTCTTTAGGAATGAGATACCAACCCTCAAGGCTGTACATGCAGCGATCAAGGAAAATGAAATTATACCCCAAATGAGCGTCAAGGTAATCAGGAAATCCCTGCACGAAATTAATTTTCGTTACGAAACGCGTAATCGGAAATTGATATTATTTGGACGAGACATGGGTAAATGCAGGTCACACAGTTAAAAAACCTGGATAGACAAAAACGTAGTGAGTAACCGACAAGCAAGCATTGAAGGTTTGTCAGCAGGTCTTCGTAGACCGTCAGGGAAAGGTCAAAGATTGATCGTAACTCATATTGGTAGCGATAGTGGCTTTTTAGAAGAGTGTGACTTGATTTTCGTCTCTAAGAAAGTAGGTGATTACCATGACGAAATGAATGCCAGCTGCTTCGAGAGCTGGTTTCAAGGGGTGCTTCAGCGAGTTGAGCCCAACTCTGTGATCGTCATGGATAATGCTTCCTACCATAGTCGTCGAGCCGAACGTGTACCGACTATGGGATCTCGAAAAAGTGACATGCAGCAATGGTTGCGCGAAAAAGGAATCCCGTTTGACGACTCATGTGTGAAAGCGGAATTGTATAAAAAAATTAAACAGCACAAACCTGCGAACATTAGTTACGTGACTGATGAGATGGCCCGTCAATGTGGTGTCACTGTGCTGCGGTTACCGCCCTACCACTGTGAACTGAACCCAATAGAGCTCATCTGGGCTCAAGTGAAGGGTTATATTGCGCGCCATAACACAACCTTCAAATTACCAGACGTTAAGGTTTTACTTGAGACTTCCATACAGCTAGTAACGCCCGAAGCTTGGAAGAATGCTATCCGTCATGTTGTGAAGGAAGAAACAAAAATGTGGCAGCTTGACCACCACATCGACACCATCATAGAGCCAGTTATAGTCAATTTCAACGAGGAAAGCGATAGCGACAGTTTATTACTGTCAGATGTAAGTGGAAGCGACGATGAATAAAGGTAATTCCCAAATTTTTGACTTACAATATGTTTCAAACCACTCTCTTTATTAAGCATGTGACAAATCTAGTTCACCCATGTTAAACATTCATACCCCGCCTATGAACAGCCGACTACTGGTAGTTAAGTGATGTTTACGT